TATATATTTAGAGCCGTACAATGATGCCAATATAAATATCATTCATTTATACCTTTGCAGTCTATCTGTAAGTGGAGGTCTCAAAATCCAAGTCCCAAAAACCAATGAACATACAAACACACATGTAGCAAATTGCACTCCTTGGCACTCAAATATAGGCGTCTAAATGTATACATGAAATACCCATGATTGGTTAGATAAAAATTTCTAAATTTTGCTGAGCTTTATCAAAGACCTAAAAATACTGCAATTTTTTTTAATATATTTCTTGCAGAGAACGCATGCAAACTAAGCATTTCATTCAACAAGATGACTACTTTCATTGCTACACTATTCTTCAGAAAACTGATAAAATTTCCAAGTGTTCTTGCAGCTGAAATAAATGTCAGAAATAGGAACTTCTCTCTGCACATAACGGTTGGGATCCACAAAGTCACAATTTATATAGACATGTGGATAGTATAAGAAATTGCTGAAATACTTTTTGCATTTCCCCTCTGAGATGCCTCAGAGCATCAGGAATTGGCTCTGACCCTTTCTATGGGGAAAGTGTAACCTAGAAGCAAGAACCTTGGGGGTTGAGCTGTTATCATCCAGGTTATGTTAACTTTAAAAGCACAACCCTTAACTTCATTTGGATCATCATTCCTCCATTAAATCACTCCTACCTAAAAGTTCTTGACAGACATAGAATTTCTGTATTAAAAAAAAAAAAAAAAAATAAATAAATAAATAAATAAAATAAACATATCCTATTTTCTAAGTATATCATAGAAATTGAACCCATTGACTAATGGAGGTCAACAGTATATTTTCTACCATGGTGTGGGCAATTTAACAAAGTTATTAGCAAATACCCATTTCCTTCTAAAAATTGAGCTGCAAGATGTCACAATAGTAAGACATTTAACTAAGGATATCAGCTTTAGTGAATTGTTGGCGATGACCTTGCAAATAACTGAAACATCAACTCTCCCACCCATTTTATCTATATACTATATTTGTTATATATAAAAATATATATTTGTCATGCAAGTCAATGTATCACAAAATTGCTAGTAATCAATTGATGTTTGTAAAATTTTCAGGATATATTTATAGCTATATTAGCAATATATTATACTGTGAGTTTCAGCTAATAATATATTTAGCAGCGAGGAACCCGGACGAAGCGTTGCCGAAGGGCAAGGTTTCGTTCGGGGAGGTTATATTTCGAAAGGCTATATTTTTGGCTGGGCCTACGGGCTCGGATGACCATAGCTAATAATATATTTTATTATGCAAAAAATAAATAAAACAATTTTTTATTTCTTAATAAATCCAAATGATATAGTCCATAGAATCATTTCATTAAAACAGAAGCCTATATACCTGAATAAATTATTTTAAAAGTTAATATAAATGTCAACACTATAGCATTCTTTAGTCTTGTCCTTTGTATCTCTCGATAAATTTCTTTTTTTTTTTTTTATTTCTCCTAAACCTTGTTTCCCCATTCATTTAATCAATCTCACTAAGTAGGTTATGTTTTGTTTTCCTCTCTCCCTCTTACTTTCAATCTGTCCTGCTAATATTAAATTTTCCAAGTCCTCTTTCCTCATTATGTGCCCTAGAAATTTCAACTATCTCTTCCTCATGTGAAGTACAAGTTTCCTTTTTATTTCCATTTTCCCTAAAACTTTGTCCTTGTTAACGTGTTCGGTCCATAGCATCCTCAGCATTCTTCTCTAGAACAACATTTCTATTGTTTCAAGTCCTTTCTTCATCTGTAAAGAGATTGTCCAGCATTCACTGTCGTACAGGAGGACAGATATCACATAACAGTTCACTGACTTAAAAAAAAAAAAAAAAAAAAAAAACCACAAAAAAAAAAAACAAATAGCCAAAAAAGTAATAAAACACAAGACAGCAAGCAGATCTATGGTTTGCTTTTGTTCCCATCACTATCCTTTAACTGACTTTCTTTTCCTTTTTCTCTAGCTTTCTTAATTGTCACATACAAATGCATGCACACGTACACACACACAATAGTGTACAAAGAAATTGTTACTGCATGGTGACTGGCAAACCCTAAGTGATCATCAGATCTGTATAACTATATATTTGCACACATACAGACCCACAAGGAATGCTCAGAAAGTAATGCTTCAAATTTATTTCCACAAAACTACAACAGATACAGAGAGTACACTAACAATATTAGTGTTTTGTGCTAAAACTCACCCTATTTTTCCACATAGTCATCACCATTGTCCATGCATTTTCACAAGTGATGAAAAAGAGTCTACAGTCTCATGATGGTATATTATAAAGGTATACTACTGATATAGAATAATACAAGGGGAACTCCAAAAATAATGCGTCTTATTTATTTTCACATGAACTGAAACAAATACAGGGAACACATTAACACCATTGGATAAAGCAAGTTTTCAACTACAAAACACTACTTTTCCACATCATCATCACCATTGGCCATACATTTTCACAAGTGATGAACAAGAGATTACATGCCAGCCATGATGGCATATTATATAGTAAAGTATATTACTGATATAGAATAATAAAAGGAATGCTCCAAAAGTAATGCCACCTATGTATTTCCATAGGAACTACTACACATACAGGGAGCACAATGACACCATTGGATAGAGCAAGTTTTCAGCTACAAAACACTACTTTTCCACATCTTCATCACTATTGGCCATGCATTTTCCTTAGTGAAGGCAAACCACTTTTACACTCATTGCTTACATAAACAAAAATACACAAACACACACAAAAGTATTTAGCAAAACAAATAGAAATGACCTCCAGACACTAAACATATATACTATTTTACATATGTGGCAAATGGGAAAATCACCTACCTCAAAAAAAGAGTTTATGCCCTGTACATGGTTTGCAAAAAAAAAAAAAAAAAAAAAGAGAAAAAATAAATCTTAGATAATCATTGCCTTAAGCAGAACTCACATATGGTAATTTTATTTTATCCTACCCAGCTATCAAGTCCAATCATTAAATTTACCCCTCAATAAAAGCTGTTTGTCTTGACGAGGACAGCATATTTTTTGGTTTGTAAGCGAGAGTGAGTTTGCTGCATTAGGATCACTGAGTTAGATTTTTTGACCCTATATTATTGGGTTGGCAACTAAGTTCCCGCCTTTTTCTTTAAATTGTGGAATCTATATTTTTCGAAATTCTATTTTGGAATCATTTTGTCATCTATTTTGTTATTTTTTTTTTGAGTTAATTTAAGTTAATTTCTGTTTATTTTCAGATCATTAAAATGGAATGTCAAGTTAAGAAAAATGAGCAAGATGCTTTTTTGCTTTTCATCAAGATTCTAAGGCTGCAAAAGCTGCTTGCGACATTTGTGCTGTGTATGGAGAGGATGGCATAGCTGAAAGAACCGCTCGTGATTGGTATGCCATGTTCAAAAATGGAAATTTTGACCTCAAAGACGCACATTGTTCTGGCCGTCTAGTTGAGTTTGATGAAGAGCGATTAAACCAACTTTTGCATGAAAATTCTTGTCAAATGATAAGAGAACTGGCAGAGAAAGTGCAATGCTCCCACACTGCTATAGAGAAGCATCTTTACTCGATGGGAAAGGTTCAGAAGTGTGGAGCATGGGTTTCGCATGCTTCAAGTGACAACAACAAAAATCAATGAGCCACAATCTCCGTTGGTTTACTTGCTCATCACCGCTTATCCCATGGACACAACCAACGATTTCTTTATCGAATCATTACTGGCAGTGAAAAGCAATGCAAGGAATGGCTTAGCTCCGGTAAACACCATGTGTGAAACAATATCTTCATCCGCGTAAAATGATGTTGTGCATATGGTGGGACTGGGAAGGGATTATCCATTACAAATTGCTTGAATGGAACCAAATGGTCAATGCAGAACTATGTTCAACAGATGGAACAACTCAACATTGCTATTCAAGAGAAAAGACCTAATCAGCAGCATGGAGTTCTTTTGCTGCATGACAACGCCCACTCTCATATTGCCAATATGACCAAGGAAGCCATTCAAATGAATGGCTGGGAAGTGCTACCACACCTGCTATACTCTCCCGATTTACCACCAATGGATTTTGACCTCTTTTGATCTCTTTCAAATGCTGTGCGTGGAGTTTTGTGCAATACTGATGCAGAATTGAGAGCTTGGTTAGATGAATTTTTCGATTCAAAACAGGGTGATTTCTACCAACGAAGTATTGAAAATCTTGTTGAACGTTGGAAAAAAGTTGTAAACAACAAGGGAGAATACATTGTTAATTAGTTGTTATCTTTTATTAAACCTTTTAAAAAATTTTAATTTAAAAAAATGGCAGGAAGATTCTTGGACTTTTGACATTGGACTTGTGATTTCTTATTTCTATACTACTTGTCTTTCCTGTCTTTCAGATTTGTGATACAGACTTTTCATGGTCCTTATTGTTTTGGACACGTGTTAACAGATTCAACCTATATTCATTATTTATTTGAAGGGTTACAGAAAGAAATAAAATTGACATTTTGTCACTGAAATAGTTGTTAACCATGATGCGGTCCCTATTGTGTGTGTGTGTGTGTGAAACAGTTTTTACAAAATACACAGATATTACACTGATTGTTTGGCAGAACACCCTAACTTGCACCCAAGGTACATATAAATCATTCCATTGTTTTTGATGGGTATTACTTTAATTATAGTTTTCATTTTAAGAATCATGTGCAATTTGAAATCATATTTATTTGAAATCTTAATTTCAGAAAAATTACTTTTATTGTTCCAGTGTAGCAAGTCCATACATTGAAATTTAAAAACAAATTCCATTATTTACAAGGTTTATTGATTTGTATATGGAAATCCATCATTACTAGAGTATGAAGTCAGTTCATAAGATTCCATTAGCAACAAAATATAAAAATGACAAAACCCAGTACTAAAAGTAACTTGTTTTATTATTTTTATCTTTTTAGCATTGAGTTTGTCCTGTCTGAATTTTATTTGGATAAAACAAAGAAAATATTTGTATATAAAACAACAAGTTTACTTTTGTTAAGAAAGAAAAAAAGAGAAAGAGAGAAAAAAAAAGAGAAAGAGAGAAAAAAAAAGAGAAAGAGAGAAAAAAAAAGAGAAAGAGAGAAAAAAAAAGAGAAGAGAGAGAAAAAAAAGAGAGAAAAAAAAAGAGAAAGAGAGAAAAAAGAGAAAGAGAGAAAAAAAGAGAAAGAGAGAAAAAAGAGAAAGAGAGAAAAAAGAGAAAGAGAGAAAAAAGAGAAAGAGAGAAAAAAGAGAAAGAGAGAAAAAAGAGAAAGAGAGAAAAAAAAGAGAAAGAAAAAAAAAAGAGAAAGAGAGAAAAAAAAAGAGAAAGAGAGAAAAAAAAAGAGAAAGAGAGAAAAAAAAAGAGAAAGAGAGAAAAAAAAAGAGAAAGAGAGAAAAAAAAAGAGAAAGAGAGAAAAAAAAAAGAGAAAGAGAGAAAAAAGAGAAAGAGAAAAAAAAAAAGAAAAAAAAAAGAAAGAAAAAAGAGAAAGAAAGAAAAAGAGAAAGAAAGAAAAAAGAGAAGAAAAAAAAAAAAAAGAAAGAGAAAAAAAAAAAAGAAAGAAAAAAAAAGAAAGAAAAAAAAGAAAAAAAGAAAAAGAGAAAGAAAAGAAAAAAGAAAAAAAGAAAAAGAGAAAGAAAGAAAAGAAAAAAAGAAAAAGAGAAAGAAAAGAAAAAAGAGAAAAAAGAAAAAGAGAAAGAAAGAAAAAAAAGAGAAAGAAAGAAAAAAGAAAAGAAAGAAAAAGAGAAAGAAAGAAAAAAGAAAGAAAGAAAAAGAGAAAGAGAAAAAAAGAAAAGAAAAAAAAGAGAAAGAAAGAAAAAAAAGAGAAAGAAAAGAAAGAAAAAGAGAAAGAAAGAAAAAGAGAAAGAAAGAAAAGAGAAAAGAAAGAAAAAGAAAGAAAGAAAGAGAAAGAAAGAAAAAAAAGAGAAAAGAAAGAAAAAAAGAAAAGAAAAAAAAGAGAAAGAAAGAAAAAGAAAGAAAGAAAAAGAAAAGAAAGAAAAAAGAAAAAAAAAAAAAGAAAGAAAAAGAGAAAGAAAGAAAAAAGAGAAAGAGAAAAAAAAAAAGAAAGAAAGAAAAAGAGAAAGAAAGAAAAGAGAAAGAAAGAAAAAGAAAGAAAGAAAAAGAGAAAGAAAGAAAAAGAGAAAGAAAGAAAAAGAAAAGAAAGAAAAAAGAGAAAAAAAAAAGAAAGAAAAGAAAAAAGAAAAGAAAGAAAAAAGAAAGAAAAGAGAAAGAAAAAAAAGAGAAAGAAAGAAAAAAGAAAAGAGAAAGAAAGAAAAAAAAGAGAAAGAAAGAAAAAAGAAAAGAAAAAAAAAAGAAAAAGAAAAGAGAGAAAAAAAGACAGAAAAAAAAGAAAAAAGAAAAGGAAAAGAAGAAAAGCAAGTGAAAAGAAGAAAAAAGGAAGCAAATATGCTTTTCCAAAAAACACATAAAACATGGAATCAGTAGAGAAATGACTTTCCTGGCATAATCTTCCATAGAAGTAAGCAAGAACAAACACGTATAGAAAAACAGACAAAATGCAATATGTCTAGCAAAACTTTGTTCTTAGACAGTACCAGATGAGTTAGTTGATTGTCAGAAAATATATGAATTTTCTTGTTTTTATTTTTCTGTGCAGCCATTGTAATTTTAACTTAAAAACCAAACATTTGTCCCTGTTTGTTTCTGAAAAGGATCATTCATGTTGCACTCAATTCTGATTGGTGGTCGTTGGTGATAGCAACCACAGGAATAATGGCGAGTGTAACTTAAGACATGATAATCTGAAATGTAATTCACACAAGTTTAAACTTCTTCCCTTTCCTTAAAAAGCAGAGGACGTGAGAAATCTGTGATTTCTGGCTAATGAAGTTATCAAGAATTCAAACAGCCCAAGATAAAATAAATGGTATACTCATCTAGGCACTCAGAAAAATTATGATAAAGTCATGTACATAAGATTAAACAGTATTCAATCTTGACTTTAGAAGGCACGCACACGGTTAATTTTTTTTTTATTTTTTTCTTTTAAAAATTATTCAAAAACTGCAGCCAAAGTACATTTTAAAAAATTTTTTTTTTTTTTTTTACTTCATATTGGTATATGCCAGTTTTGGAAAAGAACAACTTTTCTTTGAATGAATTATCTTAACAGCTGAAATGACTATAGAATAGAGGAGGGTCAAACTTTCCTTGTATGAGAAAAATTTAAATAAAATACAAACAAAAATTTTGAAAATTATGGTTTTCATCACAAAAATTCTGAATTCACTAAATATTTTAATGAAATTTTTTTTAATTTCTATTTCTGAACAAATCTGAATATCTATAAACTAGATTCTACACATGGTAATTTCTAGGTAAACAACTATCTAATCAATTAATTACCTCATTATTTATTAATCCAATTCTGATATTATGACAAGTGATTTGTTGAGAGGGGGAGGGAAAAAGAATGATTTTAAATAAATCAGATGGTGACTGAACATGAAAATCAAAACGGTGACATTCATTCCACTATTGACAACAAGCACTGCCTAGTCAAAAGAAAAAAAAAGGTAGAGAAAAATTTGGAAAAATAAGTTTTTTTTTTTCTTCTCTCGTCAAGTCATTTCAGTATGTAAGTAATCATTCACTCAACCATTTCCTCCTCTTTATGATTATTACTTTATTAAAATCATTTCACCCCAAGGAAGGTGATCATGCCAAGAAAGATACAAGTGGTCACTGAGGATGAAAGACAACAGGTTGAAGGAAATGGAGAAAAGATTACTGGGGAGAAACGACAATAAACAGAACAGGATTCAAGGAGACAGTAGATGATGATTGATGTTGCATTTAAATTTTTGTAGCATGTGATTGACAGGAAAGCAAGAAGAGAGTTCCACAGGCAAGAAGTGCGAGAGAAGAAACTATTAGAATAGAACTCAGTTATATTTAGTGATTTCAACAGTAAAATGATAAGCCCTAGTGACCAATCTAATAATACAAATCTGTTAATTACCATAGAAAAATCGAGTGTTTTCCTATTACTTTATGCACAATTTTCAATTCAGAGTGATCATTTTCAGATATTTCCTGCTAGAGACCTAAGTTAACTCTGCTATTTAACCTATAGATGATGGGAAAAGAAATTGAGGCATGCCTTTCATAAAGGAATTTATGCAGAAGGAAAGAAACAGTAGAGGGATAAATAAATGATGTAAAAAATTTTGCTGTTGAACATTCTAATCAATATAATCCAATCATGTCCATTTATCACAAGGATTACTATAGACTATGCAATGGATGTAAATTTCTTTAATCTCAAAAATATTGCAAGAAGAATCAAGTTTTAAAATGTACTTAGGTACCCCTTTAAAATAAGACAAAAGGCATGCAAATCAACCTGAGAAGACAATTGTAAAATTCTACATTCTCTTCAGATAATTTTGACTGACATTTTCTGAAACATTCTATAGACAATTTCATTCTTTCTGTACCCATCAGAAATAAACCTGTGAAATTCTACTCAACCAAATACTCTTCCACAAATAAATCTTGTGCTTCAGCAGCAAGAATTCTGTCAAACATATTTGGTTAAATAACATGGACAAGTTCTGTCTATCAATTTTTTTTTAATTTTTCAAATTTCTGAATTAGGTGGTTTGTGTTATTGGTAAATTTACCAAAGTTCATACTTATTTTTATTTTAGATTTTCTTAATGAGTACTTTCAGAGTTAAAAAATATAGACACAAAACAGTCCTTGAAAACAAATGTAGTAACATTTGAAAGTACTTGAGAAGAAAATAATATAAAATAAGAATAAATACGAACTTCGGAAAATGTACTGATAACACAAAACACCTAATTCGGAAATTTGAGAAATTGAACTAAAAAATTTATAGACTGAACTTGTCCATATTATTTAATCAAACTTATCTGTAAAAAGACATTATGAATAAAAACAAAAATTAAAACTGTTTTTTACCAAGGTATTGTGTCCTTTGATGGACTTTATCAAGGCAAATATAAGGATTTTTTTATTTTGCAACATCTTTTTATAAATAGAAGTAAAAACATGGTTTGGTTTTTAAATTTTTAAATTTAAGAATGCTTAGAAATATTCTTAATGCAAACTCTGAAAGTCAAGGTAAACTATGGAGGGTGTTAAGTAATGTAATTTAATGCTGAATAAATGAAAGTAAATGTTAATATTGTTGAATTTTTTCTTATTTGTTTATATAGACTCATTTACTTTTTTATTAATGTAATTATTATTTATTATTTTATCTTAATTTGATAAATTATTTACGTATTTACTTATTTTAAATAATTGAAGGTTTTGAGTTAACCGTTTTCTTTTAATTTAAAAAATTTTTTATGGCCATGTATGTAGGTTTCAGAAAGGATTATATCTTTTCAGGAAAGGAGCTATTTAGAAAAATCCAGGGTACAGATTTACATTTTGGCAAGATTTGATAGTGACACTCTCAAGAACTTTCTGCTTAATAAATTATTTTCTCTTTTAATAAGTGTGGCATTCTTTAGATCAAAGTTATGATTGCATTTATTACTATGTATAACTAATGCATTTGATAAATTATGTATAATATCCTTTTTGTGTTCATAAGTTTTAAATTTCTTAAAGTTTTCCCCACTATATTGTAAGGAACATTTGTGACAATTTCATAAATAACTGCTTTAGAATTATTGTTATGGATATTTTGGGATTCTGATCCTACCCATACATTTTGGATGTGGTTGTAATTTAACTTTAAATAAACCTCTTTATTTGTGTAAATAAGTGGCACAGGGTTCTATTATTTAGTATGTGCCTTACACTCTATAATAAATTGCCTGTCCCCAGCCCACAAATTTTTGGTGGAGTAGCAGAGTAAATCATTAACACTTTTGTTTACTTTTAGCTAGCCTTACTCCATTAACATATGTTGAAGTCCTGTGGTAAGTATCATTTTGATTGAAAGGAAAGACAGAAGAAAAAGAGATTCTGTTTGATTAGTGAAGGAAAAAAAGGAAAGAAAAGGCAATAATGCTCTCATGCATTTAACGTCTGCTTCAGTGAAATGGAAAACCTTGTCAATTTTTAATCTTATCATTTGTACCTTCTTTAAATAATGACATGCATTATATTTGTTGCTGAAATATTTGTTCAAGTTGTTAAGCTCAAATATTTAACAATGTAATGGGGAAATTTCCACAGGTATTTTATAGTTGTGGAACTGACAAAAAGCATATTCAATCATTAATTTAAGAATTATGACTCATCAGAAAATTAAAATAGGAGAACAAATTTTCACAGGTACAGATGGTAATTCTTAATTTTTTAATTATATTTATTTCATCTTAATTTCTTTTGCTTTTAAATAAAATCATTCCAGTAGAAATGGTCAGTAAAACTAACTTGGCAAATAATACTTCTCTGCAAAACACACAATCATGCTAAGACATGATATCAGATTTTATTATTCAAGTCAAATTTTTCACAACAAAATTGGTATTAACCAACTGATGATTGTAAATTTTTTCAGACAACACTTATAGGTTCTTTCTGTCCAATGTAGCTCTGTGTTTATCACTGAAAGTTAGTATTTGAAAATCACTTTTCATGTAATTCCTTGTTCCACTTAAGGTGTTCCTCTTTGTGATGTTTAGTTAAATGTGGTAGTTTGGTTGCTTTCATGTCTTCAGCCAATATTCTTAATATTCTTGATCTTTCTGTTTACAAAGTTTTTAATTTTTTTTTTTTGATTCTTCTTAGAAGTCGTCTACACTTTTTTGTTTTTTCCAACATTTTGTTTCCATCACTAAATAACTCGTTTCTGTTTTGTGTTTATCTCTTTCTTACAATCTATGACAATATATATTGGAAATAGAAAAAAAAAATCATTATCTATATCAGTGTTTCTCAACCAGCGTTACCCCACAAAAGGTTGCTAGGGGTTCCGTAAGAAATAGTGATAAATAGGCTAATGCATTTTTGAGAAATTTTTGTTTAATTTTATATTTATAATTTTACTATACACGTATCGGCCATTGTTGAAAAATCCTTGGTTATTATAATAAAATATAATGATATTGGTTATTAATATTTATTTTTTTTGTGTGTTTACAGATTTATTTTGTGAATAAAAACCTTGCTGTAAGGTCTCAAATGTGCAATATGATTTTTTATATTTTTTTTGCATTGCCAATAAATTTTTTTCTTAAGTCAGTTATCTGAAAAAATATACTTACCATATGAACTATAATAAAAATATGAATGAGGTAGATATTAATAATGGTATATTATCATTTTTATATAGGGTTTCCCTGAGACATGAAAACTATTTTAAAAATTACACAAGGCTAAAAAGGTTGAGAAACATTGATCTATAGTATTATATACTCCACAACAGCAACACCCAATGTAGTGAGGCTGTGGCGCTATACTCCATAAGGGAGTCTATAGAAT